GTTTCAGGTTTCCTAACCTTAACTCCACTGGCCATACAACACCAGTCAAGCAGCACAAATCTTCTGTACATCTGGGGCAAGTGGTTTCATTCATTAATCCGGCTACGGGATTATGAGAATCTCAGAGAAGGCATTAATTTCAGTTTTCCAAATTCTTTTCCATACACCCACAGTAAACAGCCTGTTCAATGTTCTTTGCAAGTTTCCCTGTGTTAGGAGACAAAATGCACAATTTCAAATCTTTGCCATCACAGAGAGCATATTCTCACCATAACCCAACATGCAGCTGATTTTTTGACTATAGTTTAAATCAGATTGCAATTGTGTAATCGGTATTTCATCAGGGCAAGCTGCCAGGGACAGAGAACATGTAAATCCCAAAAATACCTCTGTTCTGATAAAAAACTGTCCAGATCTAATCCACAGAGATATCAGCTGACAGTGGCCCCTCCCAGATGCAAGCACTGACAGATATGACACAACCTTCTGCATTCTAGGGACTGTCATTTCCACTGAGATGTTAATCACATCCTCCCCAACCAGCCTCCTCCACCGAGGGCCAGGCAGATTAGGGGCTCATCCAAGATTCATTAACTCTGGTTCCCTGCATTTTCATAACGAGCTTGCAGTGCCATCCATTCTTTTCAGCCTCCCCCCGCAGTGATCATGGGGATCAATTTGCTAACACAGTGAGTGGGAGTAGCTCTCACCAGCTCCAGGGGGAAGCACAGTCATGTGGGTTTTTCCTGCATCAGGTCCCAAAGGGACTGGCACAAAATTAGAGATTTTTTTTTTTCCCTCTTTTTTTAATGTTAATCTAAACATACAGCATTTGGGTCTCCAGGGACACTAACACTTTGTAGCACAATTCATTTTATCCTGGCCAGCCTGTGCCCACAGCGGTCTGTTCTCCACTGGCATTCATGACAAATCCCCCCAGAGCTTGGCAGGGAAAAAGGTTATTCTCTCATAGAAACAAGAACTCATCTGTGATTCTTCATCTTTATGCTAACTCCCCAAAAGAGATCCAGTTTTTCTAGGAGCTGAGTGGCATCTGATCCACCTGACATCAGTGGGTTCAGGAGTGCTCAGCCTTCTCCTGATGCAACCCCAGAGAACACGTTGTCTTCCTTCTGCTCAACATGCCTTTCTCACAGGACCCTAGGCTCAGTAGCCTAACTGGAGCACATCTTTTGGCTATGACTGAACGCTGAATTAGGCATTTGCTTTCACACCCTCCTCTTCTATCCCCAGCCTGTCTCCTTCCTCCTGGGATCTTGCATAGGATTGTGCCCATCACACAACAACTGAGTCCTGCATCACACACCTGCAAACACCCCATTGCTTCTCTTGTGCAAACAGCAACCCTGAACACAGAAATGGTTTTCCCATAGGCACAAAAAACCACCTCTGGTGGCTTCCAGCTTGTGGCCACCCAGAACCTATGAAGCAGTGCTGAATGTGCTGGGCAGCAGCACAGCATGTGCCCAAACAGCAGGCAATGGCATATGTTAATGCATCCACTGCAATCTCATCTGTGGTGTGTGACAAGGGAAGATGATGTTTCTCCCCCAGCTGATGAGCAGCAGTGCTGGGTATATGCTAGTAGAGGCTTTCCACCACTCCTTCCATCTCCTGTCTTTGCTGTCTGGCATTCAGTCTTTAGATGTCTCCAAGTGCTCCTTAGTGAATAGAGGAGAATGCACTGGTACTCACTGTCAGAGAAATCCATTAGTGCCAGCATTTATTAGCTTTCATAAATCCATGCCAAAAAAAATGCAATCACCTTTTTCATGACCTCCAGCTATGCCTGTGCATAACATGAGAAGATCTAGCCACCCCAGTCCTTTAAGGTCCTTTATGGCTACAAGAGAGGTATATATTCAATTGACTTCAAAGAACGTTTGAGTGCTCAGCAACTTGCATGAGATTGGTTTACAGAAATAATACTTTTCAGAAGCAAAGTGTACATGGCACTTTTTCCTCCATCTCCCATTCAGTTTTACCTCTAACAATAAATCACTAGAGAGTCAACATGGAATACCTTAGCATTGTATTCACCTAGAAATATTTCTTTCCTGTATAAACTCAGATTAATATTAATTCTCTGCAAGATAAAGGCAGCTAGAAATAATTTGATGGAATAAAACCAGTGTTCAGAATTCCTGACACTTCCCATTGTTAACAGACAAATGATCTTATAATGGTAAAGTCAGAGGAATAATTCCTCTCTTATACAAGGTCTGATTGACTAGACATGACAGATGGTGTTTTTATTACTTCCCGTTCTAAAAGAGGCCTCATCTAATACAGCCGAGGCTGTGTTTTGAGTCTTAACCTCTCAGATAAGCAAACCCTGTTTCATCAGGTTAATGGATCCTTACTTGATTGAGGAAGGCAATTTTCCTTAAAGTTATTCTAATCGAGTACTCAGAGCCCAAATTGTCCTGGCTGATTGACTGCCAGCAATGGGTAAATTTCTCTACTAAGGACCATATTTATTTTCAAAGAGGGAAAACAAGTTATTATTACAGAACCAATTCTATCCTGTATTCAATGGCTTCTCAGATACTGACTTTTACTGCAGTCACAGAATTAAAGATAAAAGTAAAGTTAATGCAGCCTTCCTCTCAGTAGTTTTGTTAAATAACAGGAGGGAAGGAAAATTAGAGAGAGATGGCCTGCTGCCTATGGATAGCCCCTCAATTAACTGCCCCTATGATAATAACAGCTGACCCTAATTGGCACAGACCCTTTCAAACAGGCTCACTCCAACCTGTCATGCTGCATCAGCCCCCAAATTGAGTGCTGTCAGCGCAAGTAACTTTGCCACCAGGCTGAGAAGTGACAGAGGACTATCTACCTTCTGAAAGAAAAGCTCTGAAGGAAAACCTGTGCCTGAAGGAAGATCCCTTTAAGTCCCATCTCCTGTATGGCATCTGGCTCCACAAGCAGTTTGGTGCTGCAGCTGCGTGGGAGCACAGTGACAGCCCATATGGAGATAGGGGTCATAGCGCCCTGCTGCCTTGGCTCTTCGCTGACTCCAGTCTCTGCAGGCAGAAACTGTGCCAGCCATGGGGGCTTGTCCAGGCTGCCTAAAGAAGCAGATGAGAGGCCTGACCTCTCCTACTCTCTTCCACCTAACTAAAAGACTGATCCAGCAACTGAGCCCCTGTGAGGACAAGGAGAAAGAGCAACCATCCCAAGGTCGTGAAAAAAAAATCCAGCCACAGAAACAAGAACTGGGCCCACAACTCCTGAAGGATCATTCAGTTAGTGATTTTACTTCTCAATGCACATATTAGCTTTTCATACAGCCTCACAAGCATAATTGGTAGCCCTGATGCCCCATCAGACATTCAATACTGGATTTCCACCTCCAGAAAATCTGACTGCCAGGAGCCTTAGCTGGAGTTTGCAGAGCAGGCAAAGTGATCTACTTAATGCTAAGTTTCCTTTGCCATTTTCAGAGCAGCTGAGCTGTTTTCCTAACAGCTCTGGTGAAGTTATTGATGCCTCTAATGAAACAATCATTATCAATAATTTTTATTTGCCAGCCACCAGATTTTAGGGCTTTGTCAGGCAGAGTATTACACTGTAATATCAAGGCAGGAATCTTTAAAACAGTGGTTATTCTGGAGGCATGATAAAGATACAGATACCAGGTGAAAATGGTGTGTTTGAAACAGAGGCTCCCAAGCCAAAGTCAGGAAGTATGGCTGAGCTCAGGCTCAAGGATCAGAAGATCCTAAGCTTTCTCAAATGTCTCTGTTTCGGGTCCTGTCATGTAGCCTGTCACATTTTAAACACACAGCACACTTTGGGAGAGGCAGCCTTTTAAAATAGTCCTTGAATATCATTGTGGGGTTGATTGAAGACACCTTTGGACTCAAAGCAAGTACCACTGGTAATTGTTCAGACAGGGATCAATAGAGAGGCATAACTTAAAAAACATGTTACTTGTGGAGACAGCCTCAGGGGACGGCCCTGAAACAGCTCCCACCATTAAACAATCCCAAAAGTAGGCATCCATCCTTGTTAATTACAGATGGAAAATAAAACATCAGAGCAGCAGGAGGAAAGGATGAGCTTGACTCTTACTAGGTCTCATCTGTTACATCAGTTCTGTAAATGAGCAGCAGAGAACTTGTCCCTGGGCCTGATGCAAACTTCCATAAATCAGGAACATAAGCAAAATTTCACTCCCATCCAGTTTCCAGTGTCTGGGAATAGCTGACTCCAGCTGCTTTGGAACTGCAAAGTGGCTCCACAGCTATTGGGTAAGCTGCCCCAGTAGGTTCCTCATTGCCTTTATTGAGTGTTGGGTCAGGTGCCATGCACACAAGTGTCTGTGATCAATGAACCCATGATTTGCTAGTTCTGCCCAAGGACTTATTCACAGTTAATGCAAACCAACTTCATTCATGAAACTGGCTGGAAATCTCATCAAAACAGGCTTTGCACAGAGATTTCTGACACTTTTGCATCCTGCACTGGCTGAAAATAGAGCAACAAAAGACATCAGCCTCCTCTGAGTTATTTTGTCAGATCTGAAGATGGGTAATTAATTCACCAAAAAAAAAAAAAAAAAGTAGCTTGCTCATTTTCTGCCTTTTGCTCCCTCCCCCCCCCCCCCCCAAACAGCCATGCTTTTTCCTTAGGTTTGTATGTTTTTCAGAACAATTTGTCAAGAAGTTTCTGCAAACAATTTCAGGTAATTAACAGCACTAGTGATCTGCAATATATGCAAGCACAACAGGACACATAGGGTTACATGATATACTTCCCAGTTTTTCACCTGGATGAGCATACATACTAGTAACAGGTTTGCAATACAGGTTTGCACAACTCTCACTCTGAAGCTCTTTCATGGATATTTTGGATACTTGCCTCAAAAAGCCCACTCCCACAAACATTCCACACGCAATGTCTGTCTGTTCAAGCACTCCCAGCCAGGGAATGCGGAAAGAACAGGAATACAATCAAAGCACATTACTTACGGAAATCTCTGCAGCGGGTCTTAAACAAAGGTGTCAGTGGAGTGTCCCCAGATGGAGGGATTTCCATTAAGAAAGCAGTGGAATGGTCCAGTACAAAAGAAGAGCACTATGAACTGTTTAAACTTCAGGATGTGTCCGAGATAAATGTAGGGTACGAATATAAGGTTATTTCTTCTTGTACCCACAAGCAGCACTTGTACTCCATGGTAACATACAGAGAACAAATGGCAAAACAACACTTGGCCTCACAGTAACATTGTTCTGTTTGCTGTCCCTGAAGACTTTCAGTTAATCTTTATCTGTGGGTTTGGCCAGAGAAATGTACTGGTGAAACTCCCCTCTCTGATTTCTCTGTGCAAACTTAAAGCTTCTTGGAGGATTCATTAACTCTTTACTTCATTTGTTTCAGGGTTGTCTTCTGTATTTTCTGTACCACTCAGCGGCTTTGTAAGTGTAGAGTTATCGGTGAGGTCTTTTCCCAACTTGCCCACATTCCAGAGCAGGGCTCCTGAAGAAACAGCTGGTCCTACAGGGAAGATAGATAGCTAAAACAAGTACATTGTTGGAGCTAGCTTGACCAGAGACCTGGTCTCTCTCAGACCTAGATCTTCCTCCTTTTCTCACATTCCCTGTTGGGGAATGGAAAACAACTCAAAGGATTTGGCTATATCAAGCCAACTTACCAAAAGCGATCAGCATCAGAATTGATGCCACATGTTTTGAAGAATTCATATTCAGCTTAATGCCTAAAATTAGATTTAGGCTTTGGTGAATGGCAAGCAGTGGGGAAAACTCACTGCGCTGACTATTCAGCTTCTCCAATAAGCCAGTCTGCCTGTGAGTGCTGAACATTTCCCAGGCACCCCCACTTTCTACACATACAAGAATCACTTTGCTACTCAAGTGCAGCTTGTAGCAAAGTAGGAGAAAGACAGGCAGGTAGAGATGTGTTACTAAGACAAAATAACCTTGAGTTCTTTAACTGTCTGAGAAACAAAAGAAGCTTTCCCTTTCTTCAGCCTTGACTTCATGATCTACTGTACAACTGAAATTTGCTACTCCTGAGAGTTGGTATGCTGCAGAAGGACAGAGCTTGGCACAGGTGGCTGGCTGGCCATCCACCCAAGCACTCCATGCCCCTATCCCCACAGCACCCAAACACCTCAAAGGCACCAGCAGCTTCCCCCTGGTTTAGGCAGGGCTCTAGAGAGTGCAATTATTTCAGTCCAAATGCTCAGGTTGCTAAACCACCTGCAGCATGTTAGTTGTGAAATAAGAATGATTGATGAGCAGCATACTAATCATTTTAGAGAAGATAAACCAGACCTTCAAGATGCTTGTGACAGAATAATTCAGAGGACATGATAAAATGCCACTGCATCCCTTGAGATTAAGAAACCTGATGTTCCTGTCACCTAGGCTCTGCATTTCCCATAGAGCCAAACCTGCAGTAAAATGGTTTGATAGGAATAATCTCCTCCTTGGGCATTTGCAGGACTGCACTGGAGTGAGGACACTCACTGTGTGAGGGTCCCAGACCTCATGCCCAGGGAACCCAGCTCATTCCCATGGTGAGGACCCTGTAAACCCTTGGGGTCTGGTGGCTTCCAGGCTCCCTGGCATAGAGGCAGGAGCCTGAAAGTCCCAAACCAAGCTTGTCATTTCCATTGCTGCTTCTGGCAGGGAATCACAGACTTCTGGGATCTTCTACTCACTTGGACAGGCCCAAGTCTGCTGCTTCCCTTCAGACTGCAGTAACTAGCTTTAAAGCCACATATGCTGAGTTATGGATATGGAACCCTCCTCATAAAGAGCGGACAGAGAAAATCAAGGCAGGAATTCAGGCACTGATGGCTGCGAGGTCACCAAGGAGAGGAAGGAAGAGAAGAGATACAACATGAAGGGAGCTCAATTTGCCACAAAAACCATAGACAGTGATATAAAAAGCTTCATAAAATATTCCTTTTGCCTCAGAGTTCACTCATAGGAAGAAATCTGTCAAGGCAAACAGGCCCCAAGGAAACACCACCCGGGAAATGTTCAGGCAGTTCTGCCCAGTCCCCTCAGAACATTATCAACCAAAGTATTGTCCAGCCCTGTTTTCACTGACCTGATGTATCAAAGAGGTCAAGGCTCTTTTCAACCAGCAGCCCTTGGTATGTGGAGCAGCTCCAGCTCATCACATCTGTCTGCCTCTACTGCTCCATCCCTATGGGATTTCAGAATAGCTGCTTTGACCAGAGTCAGTAAAAGCAAATAAATCTTTGTTTTTAAAAAGAGCTGTGTAGGAAACTCGCCATGTGTAACTCCAGAATAAACAGGAGACCATAGAAAAATTGTGTCTGGTGGTTGCCACACTGATATAAACCCGGGGAATGAATCACATGGGGCAACCAAGGAAGGAAAAAATTACCATAACTGAGTCTGAAGAGAGGAGACCTTGCTGAGACACTGCAGTAGGAATGAGGGTGAGAGGGATCTAGCTACAAGCTTGAGTAGTGAATGTCAGGCCAAGGACACTGCCTCTTGACTTGTTTGGAGGTAGAATCACTACCAGGTGCTCTCATGTCTCTCTGTTGTACCCCAGTGCTACCCACAGCCAGGGAGACAAGCAGGAACCAGGTCACCCAACCTGTCCCCATGACAGCAAAGAAACAGGGATTGACACCTAGGCACAAACACCTTCCTCAAGCCCCTCACATCATCAGGGTGGAAGATGGATCATTACTAATAAAAACAGAATGTTTTGCTTTCAAAATGATCTCAGAGAGTCAACGTCTGCTGGAGCAAAAAGCCTATTTCATGAGAATTTAGCAGGGGAATAATTTAATGGAGCTCAGATAAAAGGTAGTCACCTGGAACTCAGATTTAGAAGAAATTGCTTTTTTTTCTGAATTACTGGTTTGGAGGATAAATAAGGAATATTTATCCGATTTCACTTTTCTCACACATTTTCCCTGATGGGTGCACTAATGAACTCCAAACTGTATGAGGAAGTGCTTTCAGTCCATCCCCCCACCTCCCAAGTTGCAAATTCTTTATTAAAAACTAATGATTCTCTTTCTGAAAATTAGCATCTGCAAATCTGGGGGCAACTTCGACCCTGGAATAAAAAGGAACAATTAATTCCCTTTGCCCTGATTGGGAGTTCCTCCTTCTCACAGAAATCCCAAGGGCCTCTTACATTGACTGTCTTGATTAAAGATGGATTTAGCTTTAATTGAGTAATTGCTGTGGTTTGTTATCACTGGTTATGGCAGAGGTTTCCTCTGCTGTATCTTGGTCAGGCAGGGTTGTTGTCTTTGCACCTCTGTTCAACCTTCCTCAGTCTGAACTGTTCGAACAATTACAGGCATCATTTATCATCAAAATACACATGAATATGTATACATCCAGACAGTTTAATATGCCAGCATGGGAGGAGGCAGGTCACACACCAGGATGACATTGTGGCACAGCATACATAAGGAGGAGCCTGTAGGACCAGATCCACAGATGTGAGTGTAACTCCACTGATTTCAGTGGGTTGTCACCACTGAGACAGTTTTGTGTGCTAAGGACACAGAGCTGGAGCAAAGTCTAGTTAAAAAACAAGACATGCTCCATGGAGTGGAGAGATTTACTCTGCTACTAAGTTGTTAGGTGACTTCTACCTTGTGCCTCATGTTATCACTCAAGTAGCTAGAAGACCTAGTAGGAGGGGAGACCTAGCTGAGGGTAAAGCTCAGAAACATATATTTTCTTAAAGCCATTTAGAGGGATTTTGAATCAGCTGCCAGTGAATGAGAAGTTAATGTCTCTGCTTGCAGTTAGGACTGTAAAACATGGGTATGTGTATCTCTACTGTCTCGTGATTGAATCATTTCTAGGTGCTTTGTGATGCCTCTTATTGTGATCTCCTGACTCAAATGAAAGACAGAATTACCAGCATCATTTAAAACTGAGCTAGAAGCTAGGAAAAACTAGTTCTGGGGTTAATTTTATATCAAGTGGTGACCTCTTTGCCATCATTTATCACATAAGAGATAAATTCCCTGACTTTGCAGCTGCTCAAAAGCTCCTTCTAATTGAATCAAGCAGATTTACATTATCCCAGCTGACTTTTTTAAAGCAGGAAGTAGGGATTCACTTAAACCAGTGAAAAGCGTGGGCTTACAGTAGAAAGGAATTGAGAAGATTGTTTTCTCTCTGATTGCTTAGACAAAGTTTCACCATTATTCAAATATGTCATTTCAAGGATTTTAGTTCTTGAAGATAAAAAAAAAATCTGCAAACACATCATAAAGGCTTACAACTGAAATAAAACACGTCAAAAACATTTTGACTGACTCAAGCCATGTTTTCCATGTTTTCACTCTTTTCAAAATACAGGCAGCTTTTTCTGAGAAGATTTTCTAAATCTCAAACATTATGGTGAGGGGGGAAATGTCCATCTCTGAGTTACTAAGACCATCACATTCCCAGATCTTCTAGAGACAGAGACAACTGCATTGTCAGTGCACTCTTCTTCTACTTCTCCACCTTGCTAATGGTGCACTGGCCTGGACAAAGCACATGCAGTGAGGCAGGTTATTGCCAGTGAGTGGCAATACAGGTTTGCACTGCCTTGGCTGCTTCCTCAGCGAATGTGGTCCATTTACCAGTCAGCCAAGGACAATCTCTGGGGTTGTGCTGCTGTTAAGGAAGAGCAGTGTGAAAAGCATGGCCACTTGCCACCTGCATAGGCCAGATCTGCCCTACCTGTCCACCCCATCCAGCCCTCCCTTGCTGAGGCAGACTTTCAGATACCTCAGCTATGTGCTTCCTGCCAAAGCCACTGAATCTGAAACCACGTGCACCCAAAAAGCCATCTATGTGACAGAAATGTCTGCTAGACACTGTGGATTCAGGTAGTTTTAAATGGGGAAGAAGCCTGACTCATTCTAGCTCAAAGGCAACCATGTCAGGGCAGAGCCATTGGTTACAGTGACTCACTTCAGCTCTACAATCATGTTACGGGAGTACTCAGTTCCTTGCTCTTTACAAGAGATCCCAGTGGTGCAGAGATTTGCCAGATGCTGGTCAGGCCCATTCACGCAGAACAGACAACTCTTGCCACGCCAATGAAAGCTGTGGCAGATGCCCTGGGTGGCTGCCTGAGGGACTTGGCGTGGATGTGCAAGCCAATGAAGGGCAGCAGGTCTGCCCAAATGGCAGGATGGCCAAACATAGCTTAGACAGCACAGCAAGCAGCTCCTCTTCTCCACCACAGGCTGGATGGATGGCCTGGAGAGAGGCAAGTCTGCATCACTCAACATCTTCCTGTAGGACAAGTCACAAAGGGCTTTCTTAGGCAAGAGTCACTGAGGGCAACAGGCTCACTCTCTGCTTAAAGGCTAAGGAAAGAGCTTTGGGACCACTGGCTTGGACTAGCCAGTGAAAGCAGACTATGTATGTGGTACCTTTTGCTCTATTTTTGGCCCCTGCCCCATCCTGGCAGGCAGCGACGATGGAAATAATTTGACATGTAGATGAA